TCTACCATCCACCCACCCACCCACCATCCACCACCCACCATTCACCCATCATCTACCATCCATCCATCCACCATCTGTCCATCCATCCATCCACCAATCATCCATCCATCCATCCATCCATCCACTCATCCGTCCATCACCCAGCCAGCCATCCTCCACCCCCTCATCCGTCTGTCCTCCATCTGTCATGTATTCATGTGCCCACCCACCCATCCACTCACCCACACACTCTTAGTACAAAGACTGGAAGAGTAGATACCAAAGTCTCACTACAAGTAACTTCTACATGGATCACTGGGGGAACTTGCCACAAATGCAGTCCCAGAACCCCCGCCATGTCCAGAGTTGGCAGGTCTGGGTGCAGCCCAGGGAGCTGCATTTTCTTAAGACTCTGAACTAGTCAATGTGGCTGCTCCATGGACTCACCCTGAGCACTGCCACCGTGGCCTAGGCCACCTCGGCCTGAGGAGCAGCGAGGGCCCACAGGGTTCCCTGTGTTCTTGGGCTGCATCCCTGTGACACCTGTAACATCTTTTTCTTCCTTTCGTCACTAGTTGCTTATATCTCTTCCACCCGGAAGCATGACAACATTAAAGATGATTCTGAGGTGAGTATGTAAAATAGCTCAGCGATATTTCCAGTGTCCTCATTGGAAGTTCATTAGCCCATTTCTGGGGCAGTTATGGGAATTTAAATATGACCTAGCCGTGTTAGGAAGTTGTTTCTGACCTCAGGTGAGATCGCAGTACTGTGGCATTGAGGGCAAGGGCCTCGTGGTTGGTTCCTACCCTGGGCACATCCTTCAAAACCCCCCAGAGGCTGCCGTCCCCTTGGGCTGTTTGGGTCCATGGCCTACGGGAGGCTGCACTGCCTCCAGCGTCCTCTCCAGCTGGACAGCAGCGTGGGTCTAGACAGCCTGTGAGCTGCAGTCATCGTCGCGTCATTTCTGCATCGAGGACGTCTTTCTTTGCCTTCTGTGGTCTTCCCAGGCCGGCTCCTTCTGCTGCCCTTACTAGTCCCTCCCCTCACTTGGACCAAGAGGTCTAGCTTGACCTCAGTGTTTGCACTGGCTCTGGTCATAAATCCTGAGCAAGGAAAACAGAACACACACGCCAGGTTCTCAACCACCCTTCATAAAACCTGAAGGAGCAGCTCCACCCTCCACGGCCCACGCCGCTCCCCATGTGAGCAACACGTGCTTCCCCAGCACTCGATTGTTCTACGTGGCCATCCTACATCTGGAGTGAGCCGGGAGCACCCGGGAAGCAGAATCCATGTCGTTCCACACAGCAGCCCCTCACAGACCCCTTCCTCTACCAGGGACGAGCTTGCCAGGGAGAGCTCCCAGCTGGCTTGCCTTCTCTTCCGCCGTGTATTCTCATAAAATGTGCTTGGCGGTTCAGCAGATCTTGACAGACATTAGCTAGTTATGCTCTGTAATCCCCGAGGGAGGGCCTGATGGTGCAAAGACGTGCCCGGGTGACCTGGGTCCCAGCCCTGGGGTGCGGGGCCCTGCGGCCGTCTCTCTAGCCCGACCCTGTGGGGCTGGGGGCCGCCTGTGGCTGTGACCGGAGCTATGGTCGTTTGTCTTTCCAGATCCTTCCTCAGAAGCTCACAGCCTTTAGTTCTTCGTTTCTGTGTAGGTGGGAGATGGGAGGGTCTGCAGGAATCGCGGGCCCTGAGCTCTGAGGCAGGGCCCCACGGGGCGTCGTGAGCGGCGCAGGGTCTCGGTCGCGGCGCTGCGCCTCCTTCCACTTGCTCTGGTTCCCTCCTGCCCAGGACCTCAAGCCGGTTATCGACGGCATGGACAGCATCAAAATCTCTCAGGGGCTCGGGCTGCAGGACTTCGACCTGATCAGGGTCATCGGGCGCGGGAGCTATGCCAAGGTCCTCCTGGTGCGGCTGAAGAAGAACGACCAGGTGTACGCCATGAAGGTGGTGAAGAAGGAGCTGGTGCACGACGATGAGGTGAGCGTGCGGGCGCAGGCCGAGCCCAGCGGGTGACGGCAGAGCGGCAGGGGGCCGGGGGGGCCGCGCCCGTCGCCC